AGATAGATAGATAGATAGATAGATAGATAGATAGATAGATAGATAGAAAAAGGGTTCATTTAAAATTAGTTTGGATAAGTTGATTAGGTTGGTCACATTAAAAACAACACAGGCTCGGTTCTGACTGCTTGTCCGGAGGTGGAAATAGGAATGGAAGTAAACTTTTTTTTTTTGCTCAGAGAAGGTGGGGTCACTTAAAGCACTGGTGTAATTGGATCTCAAGCTATCGCTGTAGTGTTCCTGGTTGCTCATAGTGGCTGGACACCCTATTAAGCTTTTTCATTATTGGTCACAAACCATAGCCTGCTCATTTCCCAGAATCTATACTTGGTAGAAATAGCTTCTGCTCTCCTTCTTACTTGTGTGATGGCCATTGGAGACTGCTAAAGCATGTCTGTGAATACATACAGGAGTGAAGTTAAAGCAGACTCTGTCGGGAGTTCATTTAACTTCATAAAATGAAGTCCCTTCCCCCCTGAATTCATCCTGATTGTCAATGTGTGGACATTTTCACTGGGAGTCAGTCCAGTTCCACCAAAACCTGGAAAGGGGAATGATTCTTCTTCTTATCTTCGGCCTTATAGCCAGCATAGCTATCTCTGTTTTACGAGGCCTTGTGTCTCTGTAGGCTGAAGGCTAAATCTGTCTCCCAGTTTAGTGCTTTGTTATAAATCCATTATAACATGTTTTCAGTTAGGTAAAGGTTAGAGTTAACTTAATCCTCAAGGTCACTTTAAATCATATGCCACAGCTTCTAAAATTTTAAAGGTGCATTTTAAAAAGTTTCAAAGTCATTTTGTTGGCCCGCTGGAATAAAGATACAAGAGACAAATCCTCCAGTTTGTCAGCAATATGATCACTATAATCATCTGATGTCCTAGTGGCAGCATAGTTATCACTATTTGATACAGCTCTTGTCCTCACCATATCTTTGATGGAGTACTAAGTGATATGCTCCTTTGTCTGTTTTACTTTTTCTTTTTGTGCCCTGACATGTTGAATATTTTCCTTGCCTTTTACCTCTCCAGTCATGACTGATGAGCAAAGAAACACTGGTCAGAGAAGACAATCAATACTTTAAAAGTCCTCTTTTTCCTTTTTTTTCAGGACAGCTGGTAATCGCACCACCTACTTCAGCCCAGTTAAAATATGGTAAGGAGTCTGTTTTTGTCTTTCGAGTGGATGAAGCTTCTTTATTTTTTCTTGACAAAAAGAGAAGTTTAGATCTGTGCTGCAGATCTGAAAAGTACCTTTTCATTCTAGTAGGGGAGGAAAAGTTTAACTGTGCTAGATATTTTTCGTGTTAGATTTTTTTTTGCAAGGTGCTTTCTTGAAATGTTAAAATTGCTCAGATATTACAGAATCATTCAGAAAGTAACAAACTATAAAAAGCTCCTCCATTGGAGTATGTTTTTGGTATATCTCTGCATATAAGATAAGAGCAAGTTCTGCATGAGTGTGTGGCCATTTACTAAAGATTTATACTGATGTGATGGCCAGGTTCACATGCTACTTTAGCATTTTGATCGTGCTGACGCACTGAAATGTATAAGGCCTTATCACTGAGTTCACTTTGGATTAAATTTTCCAATTTTACTCTGGGATTGTGTCAGCATTTCCATATAAAAGCATTTTTTCACTCCAAATGGAAGCCATGCAATGCCATCCAGTAGTCATTCTTCACCATGAGCTTTTTAGGGGATACTTTAATGTGGTTTATTTGATGACAATTATCTTTACAACTGTCTGATGGATTAAATCTTTTAGCTTTACTGTAAGTATAACATGAATGGTCAAAAAAAGAAACTGATGCAAATATGATGCAAACAAAAGTTTTGAGTTAATGGGACACTTTTTAGACATCTAATAATGATAAATCCCTCACCTTAAAGCAGCTGGCTGTGACACTTCCAGAATAATCAGGGACTGCGCCAGACTTTTCGACCTTTGTGCATTTCCATTTTGCAGAGCTCTGATTTTCTCCTTTGTCAAAAAGCATCAGGCAGATCAAATCAAAATATAGAGTTGGTAAGAAAAGACAGAGAACACCTCCACCAGCACCAACATTCAAAACGGTTTCTACACTTCCTAAAAGTTCAGCTTGATGGTGGCATTACAAGAAAGGTCAGAAGCTAAAATCCATTTATCAAAATTAAGATGAAAACTGAGATGTGGAATCTGTCAAAACGTAATAAGATCTGCTACAGTAAGCTGAAGGTTAGCCTTCTGATATTAAATCCCCCACCAGCTCTGAATAATGATTAAGAGGTAAGGGTTGTAGTCTTCTTTGTATTCTATGAGGCATCTGTTTTACAGCTTCTCTGTATTCCGGGAGTGGATCAGTTTGATATTTATGTTGTCCACATTCAGTTAAAAAATTCAAACTTCATCAGATACAATAAGAAATCTATGTGAGACTGTTTACTGTGATTATAATTGATTTTGTGTTCGTGTGTGTGTTTACTTCGCAGTTCTGCTGCACAATGCAATTCCTTTTGTTGGATTTGGTTTCCTGGACAACTGCATTATGATCGTTGCTGTAAGTGTCAGCTTGTTCGATGGGAATGTTTGGTATGCTTTCATATAATGCTTCACAGAGCTTTTGGGAGAAGCATTGTGTGCAGTTTATTGATCCAGTGCTTTTTCTCTTCTTGCTTCACTACTGTAACTCAGTTTTTTTCTTCTCGTTTTGCCTTTGAACATTTCCATTAGTTTTCTAACAGTATGTCTTCTTTAAGTCCTTCTGAAGTTAGTCAATGAAGTTGGCAGAAATAATGAATGAATCACAAAAGCTGCTTGCACTTGAGTTGACCGGATTTGTGCCTCTGTGCTGTCACGTCACATTGATTAAAGTAGGGCCTCTTGAAGATCCCATCCCTCTTTCCTTGACATCTGCGATGAGAAGCCAACAATCAGGACAGGGAGCCATAAACAAAAAGAGAGGCAGCCATAGAATAGAAACTCCATGTTGCCAATGAAGCCCTGCGGTTTGGAAATGAATTTCCTTGTTATGATGATGATGTTCATATCTATGTTCCTTTGAGAAATATGATTGCCACTCAGTCCAGCCTTGGTTGGAAATATTATACGGCATCAAAGCTTGGATGGCCCTGAATTTTCAGAGTTTCAATGATAAAAAGACTCAAGTCTGATCATTATGACCAAGTGGCCTTTGTGACACCCACCATGTGGACTTTGACAGTTGGACTCCATATTTGACACCCAGTGCTACCAATCTGGGAAAAAAATGCTTTCACAACTGTCACAAATTGTCAAATTAAAGAGCGTTTTTCTAGTCAGAACTTTGAAAAGTTATACTCCCAGAGTGTTACACAATTTACTTTAAAATGTCCCAAAGACCAGTCCGAAGCTTACAGGTGGTCACCGCAAAAATATGGAACGAGTTGCCCCTCCATGTCATGAAGGCCTCTGCATTGTCCTCTTTTAAATCCTTTTTAAAGTCTCCTGGTGTTCAACACAGCGTGGGTTGTTTGCTCTTGTGCATGAGCCATGATTCTGGAGTTTCATGTCGTATTTCACTCAAGACTAATTTTTAGTCTCTTATTACACTTTGGTCAACCATAAGGTGCTTTGTCAACACATTGCGACTGGAATAGAAAACTTTGCGGCTTTATTAAAGTGTCAAAGTGCAGCTATGCACAGACAGTCATGAACAATTGGCCTTGATCCCAAAAATGGGATATCTTTACTCCTCATTAAATGTTACTCAGGATGAAAATGAGCATTTATTTTTCATACAGTGCTCTGATGCTGACAACCATGATGCGCTCCTATTAACCTGCTAACATCTGTGTGTGTGTTCTTCTCAGGGCACACAGATTGAGTTATCGATCGGTGTAATTCTTGGTATTTCAACTATGGCAGGTAAGTGAACCTAATTGTAATTTGCTATTTTTGATAGCATCCTTTAAACAGTCTACTTGTTTAAAGTGTGTTTGTTGCAAATATGTTTTGGAATAATTCTGTATTCATGGATTCTTATGGAAATATGAATGTATCCACATACTCTAATCTTGTATTGGAAAACTTTAAATAATTCTACAACTATAAGGGTTGGTATATTTCTAACTTTGTGCCACAGTTTTAAGATTTGTGACATTTTTGTATTTGTCCAAGTACGAGTCTAAATGACCCATTAATGCACTAGATTTATAGCTACTGGTAAGGATCCCCTGAAGGTCGATTTGACATTTTTACCTCAGTTCAGCATTTCAGCATCTGAAATATTTTGTTTCTCATCTCAGAAAACTTCATTCTGAAGGTGTGTTTATAGCAGAAACCCTGCATCTATAACCTAATAAGTAGTCATGCTAGTGTAGGTCATACTGGACTCATCACGAATAGAACAAAGGCAATTTCTCAACCAAGATTCTATAGTTTAGCTGCACTGGAAAAAGAGCAGGATATAAAAAAAGGCTGACAGTAATATCCACTTAGCTCAGCGTTGAACATTTGCATTTTAATGTTATCCCTTGTTCCCACTGAGAGTATCAGGTGGAGGCACTTGATGTTCGCCTGGCTGTGAGTGTAGAGCAGCTTTGACCGCTTTGAAGAACCACAAAGTGTGTGTACTCGAAATGCTGAAGAATGTCCTCTTCCTATTCAGAGACTGGGCAAATAACTAATTTTGTCAAAGGCAAAATATTAGTTTATTTTAGTAAATCTGCACTTAAATCAATGTCTTTAAAAGAAAAAATCAGCTATGACAACTAACATTTTCAAATCAGTTTGAATTGTAGTGCTTCATCTAATTATTTCAGTGGAGCCCATTAAGGAAAGAGTTTTACAGCATTTTCTGTAGCACTCCATTTACTTACTGCTGACAGATTGGGGACATCAGGATTGTGGAAAGTAAGAGGTTTTCAGGTATTTAACCCAATCCAGAGTGATAAAGCACTGATGTGGAGTCTGTAGTGAGGACCACTAATCACCACTTGCAGGAGTCAAATGTGTCTGAGCTAGCTGGATGAAGATGGGTGCTTTGCAGCTCAGTTGGCCTAGGAACTCTTTTTACAATTTAAATATATAAAAACTTCAATTAAAGAGTAAAACAGAGTCAGTAGGTTCAGTGAATTTATTCAGTTATTTTAATCAATCTTTAGGTTTTTTTTAAAGATTGCTTCACATCTCCAGTTTTATGTCCTACTTGAAGTTACTCTGCAGAAATGTAAATAGACTGTTAAAGGGTTGTAGTTATATGAATGTGATTGTCCTTTTAAGTGGCAGTGATTCTGAAGAAAACACCAGTAAAGCACAGGATCCTGCAAACAACACATCATCCGCCTGACCTCTGTCTCAACATTACCCACTTACAGAAACAGCAACATTTATCTATAGTGAAACCTAGCTCTATTTTTTCATCTCAACCCTCAAGTCAACCAGACTTTGACTTACATTGTCTCATTACATTGTTATATCAGTGTTTCTGTTGAGCTATGATGACTTTAATCTACAATTTGTCTCACAATTCACATTCATAAACTTTAGCTAAAAGATTTAAATCCATGCGGTGCCAAGCGGCCTCACAACCAACTGTTTTCAGATGTAAACTCATTACGGAATAGTGCTAAAAGCACAATTACCTGTAAGGCTGCTTGGCACCACTGCGAAAAAGCATCAAATTCTGTAAATAAATTCACAGTTAATAAATTACCCAGAAAGAAATCACGGCATAATTAACGTAATTCACTTAGTCTGATCAGTGCCTCTGAAATTTTTGGTACCAGAATGTGGTTCATACTGCTTATACAAATGGGATCCCCTCTGGCTCCAAAATAGCTACGATGGCAAAAGCTAAGAGACAGCTCTCCATCCATCATCATTCAACAAATTGATAATTACATTTCAGAGTAGTTTAGTAGCAGGGGGAGCAGACAGCGATTGAATTCCTTCTCTGAGGTACTCTTTCCCCCAATCACTCCCGTGTTGTTCGAGTTGCTCTCAGGCCAACTTGGAGATATAATCCACCCTGTGAGTTCTGGTTTGATCTCATATCCTTTACCTAGCCGCTCATGCCTTTCAAACCTCTAAAAGGACGATATCCATCTCAGGAGGCAGAACTCATTCTTTTTCATCTGGAAAGGTTCTCTCTTTTTATCCAGCTTTCTAACCGAGGCCCTTTACAGATAAATATCTTTTATGTCTTGTACATTCTCTGCACATGGCGGGGCTTCGATTAGCCAAAATGACTTATCTCACAGAGAACATTCCAGGTTGCATTGTGTCTGGTTATTTTTGTCCCTTGCCTCTCCTCCTGATTCTAAAACTGGAGGCACTGCTTACCTATGTTTTCAGTGAAGTAACTAAATGTTATACACGATGAAGAACACAGAATCCGACTGAATAATGCTTGGTCATGGTTGCATTATGAATAATTTGCACTCTTGTGTTTTTACACTAATCCACTAAACTCATCTGTTGTTTTACATTTTCTGCAGCTGCTGCACTTGGCAACCTGGTGTCAGATCTGGCGGGCCTGGGGTAAGGATTTCACTCACACCTCAAGACACATTGGGAAAGGGGGAATCATTTCCTGCAAAGACTCTGGAAAGCGTCACAGGTTCCAGAGCAGCCTTTTACTCTGTGATTATATATGATTACAATCTATCCAAGTGTGGATTTAAATACTGATTCATGAATCTTGTAGCCATAAAAAATTGCAACATTTTTGTAGTCCAAACATATTTTAATAAACGAATGAATGTCAATTTGTCCTATTTCATAGTTCATTAAGGGAGAAAGAGGAAAACGGCCCTTTCAGCTGGCTGCAGTTTATCCGATCATTCCAGTGCTCATATTTTATTTCAGGGCCTCTTAGTGGAAAAATTAATGATGTGATTACTATATCATCTAGTACAATCAGCACCATCAACCCCACTCACAGTAATAGTTGTTGGTGTTAGCAGTCCGATGGATTTCGGAAAGTAACAGATTCTAGACTTGTGACTAATGAAAACTGCTGTAAAGAAGACTGTGGGACACGTCAGTGTCTCTGCAGCCTGTCAGTTTGATGGATAGGTCAAACTGCTGGGGCGCTCGGCAGACACACGCATTTTCGCTGCCATTCAATCACCTAAAGAAAAAAGGTTCTTTATGGTCTGCTGGTGAAGGTGAGATTAGATGGAACCAGACTTGTTTTCCCCCTTACATTTTGATAGATTCATGCTGGGGAAAGGGAAGGCTATGTCATCGGAGCGGTGTCCTTCACTCGCTACATTTGCATCACAACCTTGGTGCCTCTTACACATAAAAGGAAATTAGTCTGCAAGCCAGCAGCACTGAAGTGTCCGCTGAGAGTGAGAGGGACGCACAGTGTAGTCCTTACTGAGGCAGGTTGGACTGACTGAGCGTGGGATCGATAAAAGGATTCAAGATTCCCCTTCATTGCTAACTGTTTTCATGTGACTTACTAATCACTAGATCAGTACCAAGGAAAGCAGTGGAATACAGCTTTTTAGTCGCTCCACAGGTTACTGATGGCATGACTGAGTCGAAACTATTTAGATACCTGCTACTTTGAATTTTAGAAATCCAAACACGTGACTGGCACAGCTTATTACAGTACACAGAAATCTGAAGTTAATGACTTCTGTTTAATGAGCAGCAGACACTGGCGAGTTATTACCGTTCAGCCTCAGTCGATGTTCTAATGGGCACAATGCATCAATGACTTTCTGGGGCAGAGAAATTTACATTTAAGCATACTCTGAGTCATTGTCTTGAAAAGTCATTTCAATTTCTCTCTCAAACTCACTGTTCTTACTTATTGATAATTAGAACAGTGTCGTTTCTTTGTATTTGGTGCTTCTCAGTGTGTAGGATTCATCCCTCTGCTTGAATGATTTCTTCTCTCCATCGGGCTAATTCTTTGGTAGTTTTGGTGCTCTCACACTGCATATCTCTTGATGATGAAGTGTTGGTGGGCTGTGATGTAGCCAGCTCATGTTTCATGCTGCTCTCTGCTTCCCTAACAGTGCACATTTTGTCTCACATTGAGACTCTGACAAGGACTCGGGGCAGAAAGCCCTCAGTAACTTTCATTGCTGGTTATAATATGATTTTGTCATGTGATTTGTTTCAAGTTCATCTGCTGATCCATTTGGACTTAAATGATATAAGCCAGGTGTTTCTATATTATTGTGCAGTCAGAGGTATTGTTGGTTGATTTGGAGATCTATTTTAGTTTAATGGTTATTTTCAGTTTGATTAATTAAAAATCCTTGAAAAACACAAATCCAGCATGCTGGTATAATTATTTTCTTCTGATTTACCTAAGAGAGATAACATTTTCTCAATAATATCTAACTCTGCTAGTTATATATATTTTAGTCATTGTTAATTTGCTTTTTTTTAATGAAAGTTTGCATCTGTCTTGCAGACACACACACTTACACACCCACCCATGGGCTTGCCTGTTTTCTTTTTTCTGATACTCTACTATCACTCCCCTGAAACTCGACAGCTCCATCTGCAGCTTATTTTTGTGTGCAGTGAACCGAAGATCCATTAGTCCCAATGACTGAACCAGACCTCGGTCGAAATATTCAATTACATTTCTTTTGTCACGCTTGAGTGCTTTAAATTCATAAACTCAGATCCATATTATGATGCATGAGGGTTCTCCATCACTTTGATCACCATATTGTTCCTGTTTTTGCTTCTGTATTTAGTTACAGGAGGATATTAGCATCATTTGTCCATTTCAAAAGGTGAAACTGGCGAACAGACCACATCTTTACATTTTGCTCATGCATAGTTTATCATTAAACACTCTAATGCATCAAGTCCCTGGCTCACTAACTAGAGGCTTAGATGGATAGAAAAATTACAACATGGTGTCTATTTTCTACAGGCTTTACCAGCTGTCTACCTAATATCAGTGAGCTCTTATTTATTTATTTATGTTCATGTACTCCATTTGCTAACTATGTCTTTGTCTCTTGTGCTGGATATTTGTGTTGCTTAAGTGTTTCATAAAAAAATAACAAATCGAATTTCTTAATCTTTCTGTAATAATGGGGATCATCCTCATGTGTTTCTTCTCTCCCTGCCCACACGCTCACTACATTCCACAAAATGCATTTTCTACTCATACATTCATGTAGAAAGTCACATTTTAGAGATGGATTTGACTTTTTCATTCACAGCTCTGAACATAGTATCGTCAACAATAAGCTAACAGCCGAGAGCAAAAGTATTTACTATTCAGGATTATTTATGAGTGTCTGTTTGAAGGCTCTCTCTATCAGTCTTTGCTCTACTATGCGCAAAACATCATGAAGAGTACAGGAAGTGACTCCATGCCTCTTCTCTTCTTTCTGCTGTTTGAGCACATCCCGCTGAATTTAAGAAAGATGGCAGCCACGAGGAATAGAGAGGAGCACTAATCTGCTGATTTCTTTCGTCCTTATTCCCAATACATTTGGTGGACGGAAAAAAGTGCTCTGCGGATTATTTGATGAAACACGACATTTGTTGCTGACAAATATCAGCAGGAGATCATTATGTGAGCTGCTTTAAGGCAAACACAAATCAGCAGTTGGAAATTTAATGTAGATGCTAATTACTGACTGGGCCTGAGGCCTAAGCTGTGGTTACTTTACAGTGATGGGAATTTGTTTCACTCATTTGTCTGCGTGGAACATTTTAATTCACTTGTTCTTTATTTCTTTTACTTTTGAATAATGCCTCTGCTCGGAAACCCTGCTCACACTTGATATGCTATAAGGATGGAAATACTTTTAGTCTTTAATATGCATACACTGCTTGTATATTTAGTCTTTTTCTTGAGCAGCCTTTTGGCTCTCATCAAATGTCTGACCCTCCCTGTGTCCAGGCTGGCAGGGTACGTGGAGGCTTTGGTGTGTCGGCTGGGGATGCAGATTCCTGACCTGAGCCCGAAACAGGCGGACATGTGGCAGACCAGAGTCAGCTGTCACACGGTGCGTATGACAGAGGGTCTCCCTTCCAGAGCACATCCTCCAGTTCGTCCTGCACAACATCATGACTTTTAGCAGAGCTTTTAGTGCATATTCAAAGCCGTTTTTAACAGCAGACCATGTAAGCTGTTTACACGTACGCAACAGAAACACGGATTGGTGTAATGTGCCCTTTAAGTTACACGGTCACGCTGGGGCTAAATCTCCCCCAAATGATTTTTAATATGCTGTGACTGCTGGGCTGTGAAATGCAATTAGTTTCAATGATTGTTGTTACATTTTAGGGAGGCTAACAGAGCCAGCTGTCCCCGGAGGTCAGGAAATATATGTCAGACTGTAAGGAGGAAAACTTCTCATGCTTAGAATATCTGTGTCCACGTTGTTTTTTTAGGCTTTAGATCCACATTAAGAAAGTTCTGCGTGCGAGAAATGATAGGTTGGAAAGCTGGATAGTTTTTATCTGTGGGCTACTTTTTGATTTGGAACAGCTCCCTCAGACTTGTCATTGTTATTCCGTCCATCTGCGTGTGTGCAGGGTAAAGCCATCGGCGTGGGCATCGGCTGCATCCTCGGTATGTTTCCTCTTCTATTCTTCAAAAGTGATGATGAGAAGAAAGAAGGCAAGACAGAGGAAAAGGAGGAATCACAGTCACCGCCCGCCCCAACAGAGGGCAGCAAAAACTGAATCTTAATTAATCATTTTTTGGAATCCATAAGATTTCTGGACTAACACTGGACTTCCCTGGGCAGTGGAGTGTTTAAAAAACTGGCTATGACCCAGCACTTCAGAGTAAGCAGTCAAACTATTTGAAGTGTTCTGTGAAGGATTTTTTTTTAATCATTTGATTGCAGACTGTGAACTAAGCACAGGAAAAAGGTCAACACTCGAAGAGACAACATAAATTCACCTCTTCCTCACTGACTGACACAGATTTATTTCTTCATTTCAGTGGCCTGACTTCTGCTCCGAGTCTGTCCAAACAGCTATGAAGCTTTGACTGTAGATGTTTAGACAAAAAGCAGGCTGCCTGGAAGTTTGAGAGATTCTTGAATGTCACAGGACATTTCTAAACCAGTGCAATGCAACAAAACATGAGAACACACCAGAAGATATAACGGGATTCTTAGCAACTAATCAACAAAAATCTGGTGGGACCGATGCAGCTGTTGTGGTTATGACCGTCGTGTCTTCTGTTTAGAATGAATGCCATGACAACCAGTGACTTCCTTGTGTTTGAACGCTTGATTCTTGTTTTGTTTTGTTTCCCTGGTATAACCTCCTTGTTGCTTTTTTGTTTAAAAACAATTGTTTTTTTTCAGACACCAAAAAAAACTTTTGGTGTCTGAAAGTTTGCCATTTGAAAAAAAATATTAGAATAGCTGATTGAAAAATAATGGGAGCTACAAACATTTAATCAGCTGAGCCCTCTGTCCAATTTGTCCTCCAGATCGGGCCTCAGCATTACATGATTCGTCAGATGAAACTTTTCTCATAACCAGAAACAGCTGCACCACAGCAGAGGGTTAGAGCTTAATTTCGTGATACGACAACTTCTGCTTGTACTAATGCATAATTCTTTCCAGTCACTCCACCTGAGTATCTGCTGTGCTCCTTCCCACATTTACTGCACACAGCTTCCCGGTATTTAAAGTTAGGGCAACTTTATTTCTTCTTAACATAAACTCAGAGCAATCCGGAGATTTCTATCTCTGACACATTGACGACGCAGACACATGGAGTAGTCAAATCTCTCCACAGACTGAGATGTTGGGAAGCAGTGAATGGAAGACTCTTTGTCATGACAAAATAGATATTCTCACTTACTTCTCACTCCCCACATTTCTCTCTGACTGGAAGGACGTTCCAACGGATTTCTGTTACAGCTCATCCCTGCATTGCCTAAACATAAGACATGAATGATTCTAGCCACGTACTGTGTGTGAGACTGAGACTCTTCATGAAAGTGAAGAAATTGTACAATGGAATTATGTATTTATTAAGTTAAGTTTGCTTCATTTCCATCATGCATGCACTGAAATAAAATGAAGACTAGTTGAAACCTGAGTACCTTCCTGAGCTTTCACAGAACATAAGGAAAGGATGTTGATTTTGTGATTCTTTTAAAAAACAAGGACTTCTGTGTGTTTCTTTTCCACACAGTGATTGACTAGATTAGTTTTATTTCGGCGTTTGGTGGTAAAGGACCGAACTCAGACTTCAAAACTCTTGCTTGATTGACTTTGTGGAAATGTGTTTCCTTGAGTTGCTTTCCACTGAACTACCTGTCTGGAGGATTTAGATCCATCCTGAAATGATGGTCAGGGGATTAAAAAAAAAAATAGATTACATAACCTCCTCAATAGACTCTTGATTTTTGTGCAAAGGTACACTAAAAAGACTTACAGTTCACACAATCTAAAAGTGGACACAACAATTTCCATTGTGATAAACGTGACTTTGACATTTATTAAAATGTCAACCAAAGCTGAGTCAAAACATACATTAACTCAATACTTTTTGGGGCTTTGGAAAAAGTTCACTCCAGCACAGAGGCAAAAATAATAATAGCATGAATTGATGTGAGTTGGCTGCTTCTATTCACAGTGTCAATTTAAAAAGAAAAGCAGTCGCACAAAGCTTTACTGTCACTTTCATTTTGCTTTTACTGGTTTAAACGTATGAGTTTTACCCCTCTGTGACCTGCAGGTGGCAGAGTTTGTTTTTTTAAAGTCCCTCAGACTCAAGTTGAAACACAGTAAGCACAGAAATCTGTAGAGGACACAAAAAAGACGAATATAACAATAAAAATAATGCAGTCTAAATTTGTCTGATTTTGTGTGTGTGTGTGTTTATTTGCTATGTTTAAAACAATATAGCTGAAAAAATCTGTTTAGTATACTGTGCATACATTTTGCTGGATGTTGCGACTGTCATTAGGAAGTTAATTTGTTCTTTTTGTTTACCTTCAATTCCAAAATAAACTGTTCATGCTGCACAGTAAATGCAAACTGTTAGGAGCCACACACTGAAACGGGGTTAATAAACCAAGCAAGAAATGTAACATGCATAAAATGAGCCAGTCTGTGGGTGGCATGATCATTCCACCAGAGATGCACACACCCCCCTAACAAACTTTACTTATGTGCAGCATAGATACAGACTACTTGTGTTCACATACTACCATCAATCCTCACAGAAATTACATTCTACTGTACCTGATCTGACTGCTTTAGTTAACCATACGTCCATAACCCCCTGTCTTTCCTTTGACCTGTTATGAGCTCTCCAGGAGTGCAGCCAGGATGAAAACAGCGCACACACACACAGAGGAGTGTGTGTCGGAGGGGCTGGTCGTGTGACACGAGGGACGGAGAAAAGGCCCCTTGGAGAATCTCATCAGAGGTTAGGCAGCCTGGGAGCAGCATCCCATAGAGAGGACTCACATTAAACACTGTTTTACAGTCAATCACCGCCATACAAAATGATGTTTTTCACAGTAAAGCTTTATTATCAGACATTATTATTGTTAAAAACAGTGATCAACCTTCGTTGTAAAAAAATCTGCCTGATATGTGTTTCGCTGAAGCTTTATTTCTTTCAGAGACTCGCCTTTTCCTCCAAATAAACAATACTAAAATGTTTCAGTGGCATCATATAAAAAATATCACACACAAACAAACACACCCTCACAGTTTAGATAACACACACACCTACTAAAGGTCTTCACTGTCAATGTTTAGTCATGAAAATAGCTGCTAATTCGGACGACAAGTTCTGTAAATGTGCCACTTGTTCCCTGCTCTTAAAACATATTACTGACATATGAACACATGCTGCCACAAACATATTACTTCAAATCTTAAAGTTATGACCTCATCCATGATCTAGGGCTTTGTGTCATATTTTTATGTTCAATCACAGCTGCTGTTGGGCTTCACACTGCAGGACTTCCACCTCATGCAGTCAGCCTTCACCAGTGGATCAACATCAGATTAAGGCATCATGTTAAGAATTGCTGGCAAAATTACATTGTGCAAAGATTGTTCTTCAGTTTCTCAATCCTCATAGATTAGATTACTCAGTTCGGTGCTTTTGTGCATTGAAGCGGTGACATTTTTAAAACAGTGATGTCGTTATTCTAAAAGTAATTGCAGATATGAAAAAGAAATAGAAGTGATCTAAGTGACCCAGTGCAGACGACTGAAAATGTGTTCATGTGCATTCTAAACACTTATTGCTCCAGTTCAAAATGTGAATACATCCCCTTGAGTGTTTGCAATGATAATGTGTTAGTCCCTCATCAGTGAAACAAATTCTTAAGCCAGCAATGCTTCATTAGTTGAGCTCTGAGTTCCGGATCACCTGAGCCCAAGCAGGTGATTCTGGAGCCCACATTTCTCCAGAGTTAAAAAGTATGTTACATTCCCAGTAGGTTATAAAATGGAATGAGGTTGTTTCATTTTCCAACATAATGTCATTTTCAATCACCGGGCATCATACCCCATCAGCATTTCTAGCAAACTTTGTTAAAATTAAAGCATGCTAGCCTACAGATAGCACCATGAATTAAACCACTTTTAAAACAACTTTTAAAATGCCATGAGATCTGAGCCATACTGTTGTTAACTCAAAGGAAGACAATCAGCTAATAAAAGGCAGAGTATATTTTTGCATTCTAACTGTGCTTAAGCCCTGTGTAAATTGCATAATTGGCTTCAATTGTTCCAGAGTAAAATGAGAGATGAAGAAGTCTGGCAGCTTCAGTCATTTTCAGAAGACTTGCTTTCATTATTTTACTCAACTCAGTCATTAAAAACAGCCACCAGATGTCTCTATTTAATCACCCTCTCAGTCCTGCAGGGACCCTCAGAATGAGCACCGTGCTCCCACACAGACTGCTTTTTCTGTCAAATGATCCGTCGGATTTCTGCTCATGTCCCCCTCTTCTGCTTTCTGTCCACCGGCAATCGTAGTAACAGGAAACCAGCTGTTACCTTCTCCTTTATACTCACAGGAATACAGTTGAGGTTTCTGATTTATTCATGGATTTCTCCTCAGATGTGTTTTCTTCCTGTCCTGCAGGACACACTCCTCGCCCGGAGAAGCTGCCATCCTGCACGGAAGACTTCTTGTAAAGTTTAAAAGTCAGCTTTTCATTCCAGACAGCAGGTAGTGGGAATAATACTGACGGTTCACGCACACTCAGGGTCGCTGACAGAGGTTTGGGCATGTAGCTTTGAAAACATGCTTACACACTCACATACTCACACACATACACACACACACACACAGATCTACAGTATCCTATGGGTAGAGTGGGTGCAGCTCTCTCTCGTCGTGGCATTCTCTCTTCTGTGGTCCAACAAGGCCAGCCTTTGTGTACGTGTTATAGAAATATCTCCATATATTTCCTTCCTAATGTCTGTCCATGAGGTTTTTTTGCGTCTGAGTCCTGGTGTTCGCGGCCGGCCTGTGCGCTGCCCTCCCACTCGTCCTGGCTCTTGCAAGTGGCATTCCCTCTGCTAATGCGTCTCTTTACTGGATGCCTCTTCGGTTTATGTAATATCTTAATCTTTAAAGAGGACAGAAAGCTCCCCTTGTGTATCTGCTGCCATGGGTATAAAATCACACAATCTACTTTATCATAAAACTTTTCATCCGATGTCTTTTCTCTGTTTTGTCTCAAAAGATTAAGTAGGCAGTGTTTTCCACTGTAAGTGGGCTGAGCGCCCTCTACGGTTACTCACTTATCTTTATGAGAAGACAAAGAGCCGGGTAGAAAAATGCGTGGAAGGGGTTTTCAGTCTACTTTGTCATTGTTGTTGGAATGAAAAGGCTGGCACTTGGCTGTGCACGGAGCTGAGAGGGAGGAGGAGGAAGCGGAGTGAAATGAGTTGGTGGTGGCAGAGGGTTCTCTGGGTTTATGTTTCCAGCTCAGAGAGACTGCGGCCAGAATGCTGATGATGTGCACATAAAAGTACATAGACCTGGAGAGAAACAGAAGGAAAAACTGAGTTGGGTTTTTCACATTTTGTAATTTCTGTACTGTAAGCAGAGGGGTAGGAAAGTGTGACATGAGACAGGTCACTAATAGCACAGAGGGTTCAGACAAAATATCTACATGAAACTGCTTAGGTCAGCGCTATGCAAGGATTCTAAAAGCATTCTTTTGCCTACTTTTCGCATCCAATTTGAGCTCCTTTGGAAATACTGTGTTTGTCCAAATTTTTTCTAAGCAGGCATACCTGTAATAGACCAAAGTTTCGTCGACTGAAAGAAGAAGAAAAGGCATGACAGTGTAGCAGATGGCCAGCTGCGTGGCTGCCCAAGTTAAGATGTCATAAGCAAGCTTCTTGGCTTTGGACCCCAGGAAGAAGTGTCGAATAGATTTCCGTATCTGGAGGTGAAACAAAGAGGAATAAGTTTATCACAGTGTATTCAATATAATGCAATCTACTTCATCTGTCATGTCATACACATTCAAATCAAACATTTCTGTGTGAAACAGTGAGAAATCTGCCAGCATGCGTGCATTAGTTTAAGTTTAAAAACAGATTATGAGAAAATATAAGATTGAATACTTTTCCTTAAAAAAAACAAACAAAAGTACTTGGTTAAAGCTTAGAAAAGAAACCCAACATGTCATGTTCTGTTTCATTGAGTTGCACTTTGCTTTTGGTTCTGTTTAGGTGGACCACTCACAGCTCGAGCTGCCAGCGTGATGGGGATGGCAGTGAGGAAGGTGAAGTAGTACCCCGGATAAACGCCGTGCCACAGGGCAGACAGGATGAAGGTGAGCGCTAAGCGGTGCGTAGGGGCTCGGTCGTAACACACTCTGAAAAGAGGAACGACACGTTAATTTTATTCTAAATCATTTGCAAAGTGCCGAGAAAAAAGGGATCCGACTCGAACTCACATTTTGAGCCAAACTCCAGTTCGAATATTCCAGTTGTCTATGAAAGTCTTGAAACTGGTCGCTGTCTGAAACACAGATCCGTAGCTGTAGTCAGTGAGCTGCAGGAATATGAATGTTTTGATGTTTTATCATGTGGAAAATTTAAAGTTACCTCAATCCCAATGATGTTGATATTGGAGATGAGGTTCCAGGATGGCTTCCCACTTTCATCCATTCCCAGAAAACCGTAACCTGCTGCATTGTTCACGGCATCAGCTGACGATACAGGGAAAAGGATCAGGAAAGCAAGGAAAAAAATCTCAATTACAACTATCCCCAGCATGCAATTTATTTTTAAATAAGTGAGCCTACTCTAATAATTTGAAATAAAGCCAGCTCTTAATCCATCAGAAATGCAAATGTGTACCAGATGAGTACACCAGAGTCTGAGAAGCCAATGGAAAATAGTTTAGGAAAATTGCATGTTTCACTATTTGATGCTGCAAATAATTGGGAAAATATTCAATCCTGAAAAATATCTGTTCATGGGGACAAGGCCAAAGAGAAACCAGTCAGTGGCAATTAATACCAGGCTAAATTTAACAAGACTGACAATGTTGTAGGGCATGAGATAAAAAATATATCTAGACACTTAACAGGATTTAGTCAAATATAACCTCTTGAAATAAAATAGCTGTGTTGGCCGTAGACAACTTGTATATAATCAATAAACACAGACACAGTGCTTACCCAGCGTCCACGCAAAGTAGAATTTGGGCCTTGCTGCTTGTATGGAGAAAAAAGCATAGGTGAGCCTGGTCAGGAAGGGGGCGTGGCCGACAAAAGCTGGGTCCACATTATGTTTTATAGGCAGCCACCGAGTCACAGTGAGGAAGACGAGCATGCATCCAGAGCAGACCAGTAGTTTTCGACAGACAGAATTCTGGAAGAGATCACAGATGATTTCCGAGCATTGTTTGAAGCACATGTTACACACGTGAATCTGTGAATTCATTCATTAATCATACAAGACAGAAAGATTTGCACAAACCAAATAGCTTCAACTGTTTAAATTTAGCTCTAGCACTGCCTCATTAACCTGCAATGTTTTCAGGTAGATGACAAGGAACAAGTATAATTACTGTATATCTTTATACTCAGTGCCTCTAATACTTCTAGATAGTTAGAAATGGATTTATGAACTTACAAAGGGCGATACATGTGGAGTGTGACTGTAACTGCTCTGCCCATTACAGGTGCCAGCGGGCTGTCTGAGCCTCCTGCTGATGTGTCTGCCTTCGATGAAGTCTATGTAGTCATTGTAGTTACTGCAAGGCCCCACCATGACACTCAGGAAGTTCAGATTATAACTCAGGTACTCAATGAGAGAAGGTCTAACTCTGCAGGGGGAAAAGGAGAAATTAGTGAAAACCAGGCAGGACAAGTCATAATTTCGGATTTACATCACAGCCGCGTCCTTCCTTTACATTGAGTGCAAGCAAAAGAGCTGCAGGTCATTTATCTTTAACTCAAACTACAATGTGAAGAATGATTATGAGTCTTGAAAATTGAATATATATTACCCTGTTCACTTTCAATCACATACAATTTTTATGTTATGAGTGACTTGGCTTCTGTTTGTTAAGGAGGGAATAAACCATTTCCATATTCAAGGCAGGACAGCGAGATCTGCTGAGTGCAATCAGGATAAACCAGATGACAGGAGTGTAGCACAGAAATCTTACTGCAGTCCAGAAATGTGTTAGCGTACAGGGGTGATTATGTTGACTGGCATGCAGAAAAATGGAGAATCTTTCATGCAACATTATGCCTCATTTCTAAGCTCCCACCATGTTTCTTTAAGAGAAAGCTATTTGCCATATTTATTTCTATGTCACTGTCCTTTGTGAAAAGGGTAAATTCCTCTTTTACAAAGGTAATTTCATTTTGTGATTTGTATTAAAGACAACCCAAGTGTGGGACAAAAAGAGTCACATTCCAATTAAGAATACAGAAATATGTCTCCTTATGTCTCCCCTTGTGAGGCACAATAAAATGATCTCTGTATTTTTAAAAAGACTTTGGAATAGTTTAATAAAAACAAGTGTCCAAAGTAAAAACTTACTTTATAGCCATAGGCCTCTGCTCCGACATCAGCTGTTCATTTTTCTTACACATACCTAAAAAAGAAAAGTCACGGCTCTAAGTCTTTTTATATACTTACTCAGACAGTGGAAATGAAAACGCATGTTTCAGATGGAGTGTGCGTTTTGTGTGTATATCCACCATCTTCTCTTACCATCATGCAGCTGAAAAGCCAGCGTGGTGATTTTCTGGGTTACTATCATCAGAGGTCTGGGCAAAAGAAAAGAAAAAGTACATCCATTTAGAGATTTGGGGATGTATGTAGTCTCACTGATGGCCAACAGCCAATGAGATGAGTCAATTAAAACAGCCTCTGTGACTTAATCTAAGGCCAGGATGTGTTCCTCTGGTCTACAGAGCAGATGCTTCATTCTCTGCTTTCCTCAACTTTTTTACTCCATAACTCTTTGATTCTTCAGGATATTTTAATCTTTAAAACTTGATTTGAGACAGGATTTGACAGGATTTTGTGTGTGAAATTTGCTTTACAAATAAACTTGCCTTGCAATTACCTACAGAGGGTTATTATGGGAGCAAATCAGCACGCACACACTTCTTAAAGTGAACACTGATCCACCAAGAAGTGGCAGAGCAGAGAGATTTAGCTACCGTGGAGGCTTCTTTCATCACAGCTGGCAGCATTTAAAAAAACAAAAAGAATTATCGAACCGAAAGATTTCACACCAAAAAACCAAGCTGCTTGGAAGCTTTTCAAGCCCTCTGATTTACATATCCTGTCCCCCATAGCCACCCACATATAGTGATCTTTGAGCACATCGCCAACTTTTACCAGTCGGCGACTGCAAGAAAACTTTTTAAAAGTTAGAAGAGACCATGAAAGACCTCCAAGCACCACCTAGTGCCTGACCAGCGGGATCTTTTGGAGACCACTTTCTGGTCTCCAAAAGAGAGCGCTTTCTGGTGATTCAATTTACTGGCCGACCCATGTCAAACTAAGCCCCTCCCTGGTCGGAGGCTGCTAGGCCCCCGTGTGCGGCTACAGAATTTGCTTTCTCTAGTGAATCACTTCATTCTTTTCAAGTAGAGGCAACTCGGGTCACTTATTAATCCAGTGGGATTCATTCCAATCCCTACAGTTTCACAGAATCATCATGGTGTCTTTGAAAGCTGCACTTCTGCATCCTGAGCTTGTGAGAGCCAAAGTCCAAAATTTAGTTTCACTGGTCAAAACGAGGCAAACAAGAGCAGTCACTCTTTTAGATAAGTGTAAATATATTAAACTTGTTGCTTCAGACTGTGGTATCCAGAACAACAAACAAAACACAAACTTGCTTAAAGGAAAGTAATAGGGAATTTTTTTTAAACGGCTTGGTACAGTTAGCATCTCATACCTTTCTATTCATCGATAAATCTATCTGAGTCCCAAACGCACCCTCTGGATCACTGGTTCCTGACTGTGAGTGGGCTGCATTGTGTGCACAGCATGGAAAGCTGTGGAAGAGCGGGGCAGGCGGTGTGGCTGGCACTGCCAGCTCAGTGGGAGTTGGCACCGGGCTTTAAAGAAACACTTTCAGGGTGATAGCCGGCATGTGCACCAGCCCACCGGTGTGGCCTCCAGCCTACAGCGTTATCCAACACGCTGAAAGCCCAAACTCTCAAACCAAAGCGTGAACGCTTCAGATATTGGGAACGTTTGTACACTTAGTGATGAACTCTTGATTAACTGTAACAATGAAGTGGAACATAAGGAAAACTGCTTTGAAAAATCCATTCATACTAGACTGATATAAAATCTTTTTTTTTTTAAAGAAAATAGAATCCCTGATTCAGTCTATGACCACACCACAGTCCAGCTCACAGGCCTGGCAGAAACCAGAGTCATGTGGAGTGTAAGTGAGACTGCCAGCAAATCTATCCACCCAGCAAAGAGGCGGCTCTACAAAGTTAACAGCCCCGTTTTAAAGGGGAAATACAATGGGGGAAAAAACACTGAGAGGATATAGTCAAAAACTAAATGAATAAAAGCAGCATATTGCTTTCAATCCACTAATATTTCAATCCTCAAAGCTTCAAGTTCACATCATGCTGCACATTGGAATTGGGAAGCTCCAACTCCTTTATTTGTGCGTTTTGCTTCACCATGAACACCACATTTCGAGGATATTACGGATATAACAGAACGCAAAGCTTGTAAATACTACATACAGTTGCTAGTGCCAAAATGATTTTTGAACAGTTACCTGAATAGACTGATCAGAGACAGCAGGAAGGCTACCGATCTCTAATTGATCGTTGATGGGCACCGACCGGCCAATAATACCACTGAAAACTCACCATATTTAATCTGAAACACGTCCACTTCATAAACTCTGTATGCAGTTAGTTATTGGTGTTTTTTAATGTTTTCCACTGAATGCACACACGTCATTATACATACTAAACACAAAGATATGAAGAGCCTGTTGTTTATGGAAGTAAAAATGTATTAAAAATACCTATCAGCCCCACCCGACCTCAGTCTTTCAATCTGTGGGGTTTTAACAACGTCGGTCAATTCAGCCCTGGTTCCTAAATGAAGAATTCAACATCAGCTGTCTGATGAGCAGAAATGTGAGCTTTGTTTGTTTTGGTAATAGCTCCCACATGCTTCGAGAGTTAATGAGTATAATTCATATCTAGTTTACATTCTGACTGTCAGTGGGGGCGCTAACTGCATCCTCTTAAACAAACAGCAAAGTCTGGACAACCTTGATTCTTGTTTTGACCAGAATGTGCGTTCAAAACCTCAGGAAACTCTAGTTTGGGGACGAAATGTAGAAATAATTGCATTTGTGTCTATAATAGGTACCATTGAGATGCTTTCCCCCCCCCAGTTCACGTCATCTTGTGACTCGTGAATTTTTAAAGATAAAATACGACATTATGCTTATGTTACACAATTAGCCTTCAAAGGGAGCACCAAACTGCCCACACTTTACAACATGGTCCTGCGTCAGGCACAACAGATCCACAGCTGGAACAACCCTTAAATCAGAGGTGTTGTATCTACAGAAAGGTGTGGCCCTGGTCACAGTGTCCAAAGACGGTTTGGACGTGTTAACAGTCAACAAAGGAGCTCCCCTACACCTGAAAGCACCACTATGCTGTCATTAAGAAGGGTGTGTCAAACAGATAAGGGATGACGTAACAAACAAAAAAAAAAATCCAATTCTTACCCAGAGAAGTCTGTGGAAAGTATTCCATAGTTAAAGATGAAGACTCGGCTCACCTGGCACAACGTCAGATAGCCCATAGCCGTCAGCATGGAGTACCTGCGTGAGGAGGGACAAATATGAGCAAAAAGCCACCAAGAGCTTCCTGTTACGCAATTGTTTCGAGTAGGTTTGCAAAGTCTTTGCTGTAGCATTTGATGACTCATTAGCGGCTAATGTTTGGGGAACGTTTAGACTTGTTTTCCAATAGTCTTTTTCCACTGATGATGGGACATCTATTAGTCAGAAGATTTCCCGGAAATCTCCCTTCTCTGTGGTATAAGCTGTTATATCTGAATATGGGTTCAGACAACTGGCTCCCACTTTGAGGACTTTTTGGATTTAGAAAAATAGTTTTATACCATTAAAAAATCTGGTATTTGTGGTAAACTGAGCAAACATGGATTTGCATTATTGAATAGACTAAATGTTTTCCAGATAAAGAGGCAGCTGTTGTTTATGCTTGTGTAAAGTCCCATTTTGACTCAGGTGAAATGAAAGTGAAAATTCTCTTCAAACCTAATTGAACTGTCATGGATGCCTTTTATTTTCAAATGAATGGAAGAGGAATGCCCCGTGACACCACTCCTTTGGGTGAAACCTGCAGCTTGTCATTAAGAAAAAACAACAGGCGTGCACACCATGCCGATGGGGTGTGTTATCTAAAACCCCCTCCCCCTCAAACAGTTAAGACTGGAACAAGATCCTCAATGGAAATGGTCCAAATTCTTTTCGCTTAAGCGCTTTCCACCTGTGTTTTTTGCTGCTGTGTTAACCTGCACATCTATGGGAATGCCACATTTCCTCACAGCCCATTTTCAAGCCTTGATCATCCCAGTTTGCACTGCCTCCATACTGGCAGAAGCGTGGACATTTACTAATACCTCTCTCCATATGATGACATCACGAGCAGCCAAACACATGAATTTTAAGCTTTCCAGTACTGTTTTTGCTCCTCCTCTGGCGTTTATCTAGTTCACTCTTATCTCGACACGATTAACATGGTATGTTTATCAAAGGCGACACCGTGTTTCACCTGAAGTTACACTACCACTACCGGTTTTTATCTAGCTGTCCCTGCAGGTAACCCCTGTGCAAGTGAATACCACAGGGACATACCCAAACATCAGATCTGTGGCTAGCGACCAAAACACACACACACACACACACAGAAACACAACCAAGCATGATGAGACAAACGCAAACAAGGTTTCAAATATAAGCTGCACAGAAGCATCAGTGGAGGAAGAAATAAACAATTAGACGCATGCCCACTGTCTTGTTTGTTGTGGTTGACTTCCACCTGACAGGGTTTGATGCCAGTTTGATGATGTGAGCCTTCAACCTTCTGCTGTGGACCCAGCCATATCGTTATAGAGAGACAATGTGGGTGGGTGTCAGTGCTCAAAGGTTTTTGTTGGAATGTATTAGTTAAAAAATTCCCCCAAAGGAAAAATAAAACCAGGGAAAAAAACAACATGTTTCTTTCTAATGGTACTCTAAAAAAAATGGATCCTGATGGCCGGCAATCTGAACGGTTTCTGGGCTTGGTTTTCATCCTTGCCCGACAAGTTCTACCTGAAAAAAATAAGTAAGTACAACTTTTTCTCAGTGCTGTCATCCGTCTGTCGACAGGCTGTTTCTGGTACAGCAGTCTGGTTTAGTGACAATGTTTTGGTGATGGAACACGAGGAGAAGAAGCGAGCATTTGGTGGAAGCCTCTCTTAGAGGAATCATAGCGCTCACTTGCCTGTGCACGCTGTTGATGTCGGCTGTGATGATGATCAGGTAGTTTGCCATCACCATGGTCAGGATATGAACCGAGTACCTGCAGACAAGAACACGCAATGAGAAAATACGCCTGAGAAATATTACTTTAGTAGTTCTTTTTTTTTTTCGTAGTCTCTGCTAATTTTCATCCCCAGTTTGTATCCCCAGTCCCCAGTCAGAAAACATGGTCAGGGTTTGGCTTTAAAAAGAAAAAGAAAAGTTAAAGGTCACATATTTACTCTCATCACATGATGCAAATCAAATCAAGGCGCTTGATTTGTGCAGACAACATGAATGGTGTGGAGTGACAAGAAAAGGCGAATGAATGGAGCACTGTGTGGGACAGTATCATACAGTACCATCCAAAGCAGAAGATGAGGAAAGCAACGCCAAGGAGGGTGGCCACAGCGTGCCTGACCAGGGGACCGGCCTGGCTAGGACTGAGGTAGAGGCGGAACCAGAAGGCAGCAGCCAAGGCAAACAGTTGACATGCCAGAAAATTCACCTGAGGGGGAAAAATGGGGTGAAATGAGGATGGACGGGCGAACAGCTTTTAAAAACGTTCAACTGGTTTTACGCTCAGTTTGAGTGCGTCTCTGCTGGGTTATTTCTAAAGACAACTGGATGATTTGATGTACATGCCTCGATTCTTCCTTGTAAAAAAAATGCCATGATCCTACCTGGTCAAGGGGGAAGGCCAGGAGTTTACTGACAGGCAGCAGCCACTCAGAGCCGGTGGTTTTAAAAGTAGTGGAGTTCGCCTGTCCGCTCATCTTGCGTCGTTTCTGTGGCGCTGCGCCTCCTCCTCTCGCGTCCTTTTCTGACGAGCACTGCCTTGTTTTCTACCTGTTATTTTCTGAGAATAAGATACATCCTTTTCCCCGGGAGGGCGTGTGACAAGCCTAACCAGTCTGGCTCTGGAAGCGGCGGCAGCCCTCACGTCACTCCTCCTGCGCGTCCCGCGCGCGTCAAGCCCGGAGGAGGGGATAAGAACCACTGTTTCCGCTCACCGTTTGCAAAAGTAAAATCCACCTGACAGAAAAGCGCAGATCAATTTGTTTGAGACGTCAGATTGAGGTGGCTGCTTCCGGTTTCGTTAGGAATTTCTTCACAAATTTGACTTGGAAATGTTGGCTCTTCTTGCAACTCCCCCTTTTCAAAATGTTAGAAACTGCCCATCAAATGTGGAAATGACTCAATTACTGAAATTACAAGTGAAAATACATTGACCAAACTTACAAACCCTGAATGGGGACAATGTTTATTCTTTAGCTTAGTATTTCTCACCTGGAAGAGAAATGTGTGAACAGTACATTTGCCTGTCTTTAATTTTTCCTGAGGTAATTTATTTTGTTCTAGCAGTGCTTCATTTCTGTGTGGTGCATTGTGTTGTTCCACATGCAAACCCATGCATATGAATGTTAAATAACTTATTGAAAATATAATTTTCTTTGACGTGCTATCTGTGTGTGAAAATAATCAGGTTATTGGATTGCTTCTTTGTGGATAAAGCAATTCATTTTTCCATTAAGGAAAGTTTAAATGTCTCTTTTGGCACATATTTACAATCACAGTTAAAGCATAGATGATACATATAAACGTGTGTCTGGAGCTAAAACTTTTATGGACACATTTACAAAGACATTATGCCAGCTCCGATGTGAAAAGCTCTTGGCTCACCCGGATGCACGACCATGCACCATGAACCAAAGCTAAGTTCAGGATTTAAACATGACTTGAATGGACATTTAAATACACTCTCATATAAGAGTCAGGAAAAAATAAATAGATCCGAACACAACAACTTACAGTGTACAGTGCACTGGATTTCCCTTTGTTTGAAAGTCTGAACAATAAAGAAAAAATATCAAAATCTTTTAAATAATTTAAGATCCTACGATGGGTGAAATACATAAAGCTTTGACAGAGTTTTAAAGAGCTTTACATAGCAATATAGGATAACCTGAAACTGAGACGCAACATTGTATCTGAATAAAATAAAAAGTTAGTTCAGATGCACATCTGGTGTCTACCTGTTCAGTATTCTGATTGATAGATTTTCAGCAACAGTTCTGCAATCATTATGAATTCCTCATACCAATCTTTTAAAACATATTCTTATGTTCAGAGAGAAGAAAACCTTTGGTGTTTCTTTTACAAAAAAAAGTTAATTATCTGGGTATGTTATATGGTAAAGAAGTGCTCTCCTCTTATTAATCTACTTGTTGAATTTGCCTCTAATAATATAACTTTTTTACATTAATGATAATGTGATATTACATTAATGACAATATGATACAGTATACTGAGTGTATTGCCATGCTTTATGTTCCCTACTCAGAAAACGCATCCCTGGCGCCACCCAGCGGTCAGACCGGGAAAACGCAGGGCGTGACAGCGTGAATCCGCCTGTTTACATCTGCCAATGAACACGTGCCCAACTGTATCTTGAGCTGTTATTGGCCAGTTCAATCGTTGTCTGGGTGGGGTTTATTCTGGGAAAGACCAATGACATCTAGCATGTAAATTCCGTTTGAAATTTTCCCGGGAAATCTGAGTTTCGCGGGAGGGCTCTTGAGCGCGTAAACCGTATCCCTTCATTCATCAGGCCGTTTCCTGAAGCCATTTCCAGACGGCTGAGACGAGAGTTGCGCTACTTTTAAATCCGTTGCATCTGCCTAAATGCACTTGTCTGGGGGAAAATACTTTTTAAAAGTCGATCATTTAGATATCCGTCTTTACTTTGGTCCGATTATTTTTGAAACTATTGCGACGGATTAGCAGCTATACCTGCTTGAAAGTTCAGAGACAAGAAAGGGGTTACCCCGAATACGCAAGATGAGAAGAGGGATCTCCTCGGCTCCGGACAAAGTGATTTTAGCAGGGGTTGGGGGCTCTCCTCTGGATAATAATATAATTTTAACAGCTCTCTCGGATCGTTTAAACGCTGGTCAATCCAATGCTACGTATATCCAAATAATAACCACCCCACCGCCTTGCAATGTTACACAGACCACAAATGTGTGTTTATCCGAGCCTCAGGTTAACAACATTTACACAACTCCACAACAAGCTGCAGCAAACGGAGCAGGACAGCGACCCGCTCTTGGGAGACCACCGGTAAAAATCTACACGGCTCGTTTTAGCTCATTTACCTTGCTACAACCTGACAAAATGTTAGCTTGCTATGCTAGCCGAGCTTGTTGTTCGGGCAGCTAATGTTAGCCTCTTAGCCAGGGCATTCCCACGACTCAACCCTAGCGATGAAGCTAACTAACTACCGCTAGCTAAGTTACCCAAATGGGCTGGTTAAGTGTTTTGTGAACATAGGGCAGACTGAAAACAAGTTTAAGTTAGTTTAGCGTTTACAGAAATGCAGAGCTGTCACCTAATGGCGAGCTAGCTAACTTCGTGGTGCTTTCGGGTCCGCTTCACCTTTGCAGCCAGATGGAAATATTGGTAAGAGATGAGTAACGTTAGCGTTGGCCTAGTAGCTTCTGTTGGTGTCTTTATTTGGGGTTGGTGGGGTTGCTGGGTTGCCTCGTTCGTAATGGACTCGAGTTATAGCTTTGCAAGAAGATGCGAGTTGTGAAACTTGTACAAACACGAGCTCTCGCATAGATGCAGCTCCACCTCAGTTTTGAAACTACTCGTTGGATTTCTCCAAGTCGTCTCTGAAGATGCAAGCCAACTTGGATCTAGCTTGAAAGTGTATTAGCTTTGAAGGCTAGTAGCAGAATTTTCTAATGAAGGGATATAAGTCCCTGTCCATCTTGACCTGTGTGTTGCGCTAGTGTTTTTCTTCTTTTGACGTGCTCCTCTTTGTTAATAAAGTGAGGTTGTGGTGCCTTTCATGCCAAGTAAAGTGAAACTCGAGATTGTTGCTTTGGAGAGGATTGCACGATTTCTGCAAACATCCTCAACATGCACAAACCACACGAAATGGTCAGAGCAGCTTGCAGGGTTTAGGGTTGTTAATTGCTATCCATCTTTTATTAAGCAAAGCACACGCTCTGTCAGGCTCTAGCCATGACCAGGCAGAGGGGTGAGGGGAGCTGCTTGCTGATATAAAATGGCTGACACTTTGACTGTCAGAGGACATATTATTCTTTCTCAATCTTGTATTAGATAAGCAATGAGATCAAATTTAAGATGCATTTGATGACAACATTTCACAGTTCCCGAGGGCAAGCTGATCAGCTCCACCATGGGTTTGGGAAGAAAGTCAGCATGCACCCATGTTAGCTCCACATAGTTGCTCAGAGACACCAAACAGGGTGGGATTTTGGAGCACAACTGGTTGAGGAGTGTTCATAAGTTCAGTTGTTTTTGCAGGACTTGAGAGTCAAGATTTGGAGGCAGAGAAGGAGTTTGGAGGGCCTAGATTGGGGAATGTTGCACCATGTGATGAGTTGAATGTGTTAGTGTGAGTAGAAAATTTGTACGTGGAGATAAAGCAACGCACACGGCATGGGGAATAAAGCCGAGAAACGTTCATTTCCTCTCATAAATGCTCTTTGATGCTTAAATATATAACCTTGAATGACATGGTGTGAATAAATGTGCACAGGAAGAGAAGAATATCATTTGAGGTTTAAAAGAGAAATCCGCTGTTTAGAAAAAGTCAGAGATGGCAGTTTTGCTTCCACAGTGAGGAAAATGTTTCTTTCTGTATGAATGTAAACTGGAAGTTATTTTTTTTCTGTTCAAGTATCCAAGCAGAGTATACTGGTTTTCTTTGGGCTGACGGCAGCGTTTTGAATCATCCCAGTGATGTGACTCATTCTGAAGCTGTTAGGGGTTTGTCTCGTCCAGCCCCTTTTAGGGGAAAAATAGACTTGCGTTCACCGCTTCTGTGTTTCAACGTGTGTAGGAAAAACCATCGAGCCTGTCGACATGTCACATGATACATCAGCATTTTTTATGTGAAACCGTTGTTTATGTAGAAAGACTCTATTGCCTTGCCTTTTTTAAAACTGACAAAAACTAATGGTGTGGCTGCTGAAGATGGAAAGACCTATGCTTGCTAAGTATCTTATGCTCACTCTGTTGTTCCCTTTAAGGCAAAAAGGCGTCTGGCCCTGGACGATTCAGACCACCAGTACCAGCTGGAGCCAGCCAGGACCCCAAGAGGAAGAGGAGCAGCTGCGGCAGCCAATGGTGCACGGATCAAAACGCCTAGAAGTAAGAAGCAGGCGCAGCTTTAAAGAGCCCTCCCACTTTGTGCAGTCGCTGTACAGTGATTCAGGTTCTACCTGCATTAGAAGTGCTGCATGCCAAGTTTGATATGCTGTCCGGAAGAGGCTTCTCAGTATTATGTTGAAGGGAGGTTTTCATGAGTTCAAAGTGTAAATATTACTACAAATTGGAGTGAGAGACAAAATATAAGAGATTTTAGAAGGAAAAAATTTAAAAACAGATACCCTGTACTGTTAATGGGTTTTAATTGATGGTGGAGTTGAAAATAGCTTTTTCAGAGGCAGAAAACAGGGCAATCATCACAACAGTGGGGCCATACATCTTAAACGTTCCCTACATTTACACAACCATGGCGAAAGGTGCATTGATGTCTATACGAGGTCATCAGATGTCGTAGGAGTTTATTTAGGTGAGGACTGCCTCCCTGACACTGAGCTCATGGGTAAAAAATAGGCACCATACAGAAACTTAAGATGACACATGGCTGAGGCACATTTCAGTCTTCTGGTGTGGATGCTCCAACGTGACAACCCGGAAGCGGCAATGAAAGCGGGGAGGATCCAGACTCATTAAGAGGAAAAAGGAAGAGAGGAATGTGTGTCAGGCTCTCGAAACCTGTTCAACGTAAAAATGAGATGGAGAAGAAAAAGACACATTTATCTCCAATGGCAGGATTTGGATGAGCATGTGCCAAATGTAAATTCGTTAGTTGTTTTTCTCAGATTAGTCAATCATGCTTTGCTGCTTCTGACCCTCTATCAGATCCTCTGATGTGGATAAATTGCCATGCGGCCTGCACTGAAAAAGGCTGCCATCTGAAACACCTGAATGACTCTGTATATGAGGTTTTTCTCTTTTTTTGTTCCTCCCTCAGCGCCCAAATCTCCACCAGAGAAGACGAGATACGACACTTCTTTGGGTCTGTTGACGAAAAAGTTTGTGGATCTGCTTGCCCAGTCCTCTGATGGTGTTTTAGACCTCAACCTTGCAGCTGAAACCTTACAGGTGATTTATCATCCAATATGTTAAACTTGGATCCTGTGGGCTAAAGAAAAATATTAATCTTTGTGTATCGGGTAAAGAAAATGAGGTAAATGCAATTTCAGATGATTTACTTTAAGAGACACACAATGGGACTGTGATTTGGGCAGGACGGGTTCTCAGATTGTGTTCTGAGATTGTAAATACTGTAAAAAATGTACAAAGTGGTTTATTTTATGATGATTTCTGCAGTTTAATCCATCTCTAAAGGAGTAACCGACTGTGTTTTCCTTCAGGTCCAGAAAAGACGGCTTTATGATATCACTAATGTACTTGAAGGCATTCATCTTATCAAGAAGAAGTCTAAAAACAACATTCAGTGGATGTAAGTCATCTGTTTTAGAACTGAATCTCCTTCCTCTACCTGACTATTTAACAAAGCTACCAAAATGTTCCCCCTGAGAGACTTGTGTCCTGTGTTTATTAGTAACAGACGAGTTTACGGCATCTGGCTGTATTTTATAAATTCTTATAAAGCTGATTTCCTCATATGTTTGAATGAGCCCTGATAGGCCGAAGGGCAGGAGCTGCTGGTGTAAATACAGTCCACTTCAGTTACTTAGTCATCCGTCACGGTTTTTCCCTTAAATATTTGACGTATGAACTGTTGCTGAAAAGTGAGCTCAGTCCTTGTTTTTTTCCCTGTCGAATCGAACATTGAGACGCCGAGCGGCGTGCCAGGCGCTGCTGAACCTGCCCTGATTGGCTCCTCTCCCTCTCACAGGGGCTGCAGTTTGTTGGAGGTAGAGGGGGCGCTGAGCCAGAGACAGAGGCTGACAGCCGAAGTTTCTGCTCTGGGGGAAGAGGAGCAGAGGCTGGAGCAGCTCATCCAGAGATGCAGCCTCGATATGAGACACATGAGCGAGTTACCAGGCAACCAAAAATATCCTTTAGGGTTTGTGGATTAGGTGGCCCCTGACGATGCAGTGAACCCATCAGGTAAATGGTGTCGAATCTAACTCGTTGGTTAGCAGGACGCCCTCTGCAGAAATCAGTAAGACGTCATTCTGTATAGTTCCACATAGAAAACAGCTGCCCTCGCTCCGGCAGCCTCTGTAATCACGTGCTATCTAATGCAGAATTTCAAATGAGCTTCGTGAATTGCATCCTGTGTACCTGCAGACTCCTATATGTTCAGTCTTTACATGGTTTATACTGCTGGCGGGTTTATTCCTTAACATGTGAGCTCCCACATATGCTTATGTAACATACCAAGACATCAAACAGGTGGGCAGCCTCAGAGACCAGACTGTTATTGTCGTCAAAGCACCCACAGACACCAAACTGGAAGTACCAGACCCCGACGAGGTTTGTGCACATGCTCAGAAACTCAACTGATAATACGTTTCCTTTTTATCCCCTTCATCTGACTGTGGACTGAAACAAACCTGGCATTTTATCACTTTTGATCCAAAATGCAGATTTGGTATTCATGTATCTCTCATGCTCATTGTTCTTGTTTCCTTTTTGAAAAATATATTTCTAGCTAAATGATGCCAGGAGATTTAGGACAGTTGACACATTTTTTATACATAACAGATTTGCTGCAGATTCAGGTTGTATTAAATTGATTTGCTTAAAAGAGAATTTTTTGTGCAAAGTAGTACCAGACTCAGCTGTTGGAGCAAGTTGTTGTTAGTTAGTTCCACCTGTGACTGCTCAAACATCAGGAGCAGCAGTGTGCACACATGGCGGGAAGCGCCGACTCATTTAAGCCTCATTTTGAACTGGAATTGACCCGTCCTGCTGTGATTCCATTCCGTTTTGTTTCGTCTTCCCTTCAGAGTTTATCTATACACCTGACCAGCACCAAGGGTCCCATCGAAGTCCTGCTGTGCCCAGATGAGAATGACATCAGGAGTCCTGTGAAAAACTGCAACACAGATATCAACGGGAACTCGCCTTTCCTCAAAGTTGGTCAAGGTACGCTTCCAATCATCATCAGTTTGCAGCATTCTGACAGGAAATGGATACTTTGTCTTTCTCTGATCAAGTTAATCCTAACGTCAGTTTTCAAAGCATTTAATGCAGTGATTGTTTGTTCTGAATTTTGTTTTTGCAGAGGTACTGTTGAGTCCCCTTCCTGACCTCCCCAAAAAATTAGAAACGTTTCACACAAATAAATGGGAATAAATTCATGAATTGTTCTTTTGTATGTTTTACGACACCATGCTGTATTATATCCAAATGTAATATTTGATTCTACCTTGACAAGGAGATCCTTTTTCATTTGACTTTTTTTTTCTTTTTAAACCAGATATCGGCCCATTTTTAACATAAATGGATTCAAATGTATTCCGAAAAGCACTTAACAAACCTGACTATACCTGTTCATACATGCAAAGTGAAGCTCTGATTATAATCTAGTGGTCTGAAAAAAATTCACCACACCCTGAATCAGGCCTGGCATGCAGTGTTGAGCAGCATTGTATGGATGTGTAGGTTTAAATGACTTTGTGGTTGTAGTTCTACACATAATGCTGATTTGTGTTGCACGCTCTCATCCAGCATGGGAATAGAACCCTCCTACAGGTGGAGTTAGTAAAATACAGCAACCGTTGGACCCGTTAGAATATCAGAAGTTTAAGAAGTCACAATAAAAGGCTATTTGGTTATCATAGCTGCTTAGGCGGTGGACATCAGTTTAAGATTACTGTTTGGACTCTCTGCTTCAGTGGGGTTTTTTGGCTGTAAAGAGACTGTACCCAGACTGTGTTTCTTTTCACAGATCCCAGCTGCACGGCCGCCTCCCCCAGCTCCTTCCTGTCCCCGTCCGCCCCGGCCTCCGCCGTCTCCGTCACCACCCTGTCCCCCATCTCCTCCCCCTACACCAGCCTCCTCCAGCAGACGGACGACCCCATCCCGGCGTCCCTGGGGCCTTTCCTAAACCTCGGGCCTCCCATGGAACAAGATGACTACCTTTTAGGTTTGGGAGATGACCAGGGAATTAGCGACTTGTTTGACGCCTGTGACTTTGATAAGTCGCTGGGACTGGATGACCTTCTCTGCAGCTAGCATTAGCTCCGGGAAGATGGGGATGAAACACTGAGGGCTTTCCTGTCCCACAGGGGTGAAATGCCATGTTCTCGATGGTATGAATGATAACCAGCCCGATCTGTAAGAAGCCTTTTCTGTCTGATGTTTTTTTTTTTTTTTTTTTTTGTCACTGGATGGTATTTAACACGAAGAGGAGGAGAACCCACCCCTCTGTGTGATGCAGTGCTCATGCCTCTGCACAGCGAGGCTAGCAAAGGCCGAGCAGCCTGAAGGAAAACGCCTCCCACAACACGTGGCATTATCGCTGCACATGCTCTGGTTGACAGGATTAGGTTTAGCATATCAGTTTGACCCAGAACCATAAGTACAAAGGAGACCCACACAAGCTGGAAGGAGGGGAATCAGTCCTGCTAAATGTGTTTGGAGGTTTATCAGTCTTGACTCTGAATATCATAGCCGGATGGGCAGAGTCGTTTAGGGAGCCCCTTAATGTGTTAATGCCAGGTGCTGTGGGGGGGTGATCTGAAGATTTCTGCTTTATTTCACTCTGTTGCACCAATGATCTGTGATTGAACGCTTATACTGTTGACTGTTAGAAGTAAGAACTGGTTGTGTGCAAATGTAGAGCAATTTAGGAATGACTAGGTAAAACGAGGACAGGGCAGTGTAGGTCGAGGGTTAAACGAGTAGATCGGGCAGGTGGAGGTTTTTATGATCTGCCCAGCCTGCATCTGCACATCATGTCACGTTGAACCACCATGTTCTGTTGACTGCATGGAATATTGTTTAGGAATACTTTAAATGCTCTTAAAAAAAAAAACCCAGGCGCACTTCTGCCTGCCATCGATCATAAAGGGGTCAACTGCAAATTTTAATCGTGCATTGTGTGTACAAAAAAACTTTTCATTTAAGAAAAAAAGGTGTAATATCTCCTGAGCTACAAAATGTACTGTTGCAAACATCCTGGAAAAGCCATCACCCCCTCAGTAGAGGGGGCTCTCTTTAAAGAAAACAAACGCCTGAAATACTTCCGATTAATCAGATCTGTGGTGATACTTGTTGATCTTAACTTGAAAACGTGCGACAAATTCAGGACTCCTTGGATCTCGCTGCTTCATACCTGTTGTCAGAGCTAAACTCAGCCCCACCACCACAGTTAGACAGCTGTGCAGATGTGAGTCAGAGCACTGCCTCTCCTGTGTGTTCAGACAGTCTCCTTCAGCTTTTTATGTCCCACACCTCCAGTGTTTTAATAGGTTTTAAAGCTGAATAATGAATGGAAACATGGTTTTCTTAGACACCCAAAACCTGCTAGCCACTCACATGTAATGTGAGCAAATATTTGAAACGAGAAATAAAGGTCAAAATAAAAAAGAAAGACATTAAAAAACAGCAGATACAATTTAAACAGATGACTTGCTGTTTTATACTTTGAATGTTGAGGGAGTTGCCGCATTGGCATAACGGTTCAGGAGGAGCTCGATTACACGCTGAAGTAGTAGCTGCCAATGTGGCTGAAGCCCCAGCTTTTAGAGATCACAAGTAATCTTTCTGCTGCTAGTGTCGATGCACCCTGGGCTCCATCTGTGAATGCCTGAGTGGTTCCGTGGTCCGTGTGAATGAGACATTTGACCAGCTCGCTCAAAAATAAGCCGGCTGTGTATAAATTGATGTACAGTTTTCTATTTTTTCCCCTTTTCAATGCACAAGGTACTGTAGGCTACCTCTCACTAAATGTTGAACAATAGTAATAGGGCGTAGAGGTAAATGCCATAATGTGTGTGTGTGTGTGTGTGTGTGACAGAGAGAGTGTCTTTGGAGTTCCCTTTTGGTATAGAAATAGTTTTATTCAGCATTGACATGGAATTTTACTTACCCTAAAATTTGGGTATACCCGTGGTTGTGGACTTGATTCATGACATTTCAAATGAAATCTCCAGGGTGCACATTTGAAGGAGATGTAATTGCATAGATATGAAATTATTTTTATTTTCTCTTTTTTCCCTTTTTCTTTCCTAAAAAGCAGAGCCTCTCTTGGACCCAAAAACAGAACATTTTCATACAGCTATCAGTTTATTGACTGAAATTTTCCTTATTTATGGCTGTAATTTCTTTAATGGCCTATTTATTTTATTTTACAAATAATGAAAGTTATCCCCCACTTTTTCTTTTGTTTTTTGATAAACTTGGGAGACACCTTCCACAATGTAACATGTTAATTCCCCCCCATTTCTCTCAAGCAACTGGAATCTAGTTGACTTATTTTAACCTAGTGGAAACATATATTTTGGAAAGGCTATACTTTTCCATAAATTCAAGATGGAATGTTCGATTTTATTGTCCCACGAAAAGGTAGTGTTTTGTATAATGGACGACTTAAAATTGCCGCTTGTTGTTTTCTATTGTATCTTTCTGATGTGTGATTAGATATTACAGTTATTTGGCTTAAAACTATAAACATAGTCCAGATTGAAATAGCAGTGTTTGCTCCGGTCATTTCTGATGGTTATTCCTCAGCTTTTACCAAATACAGATTACTTATCCATAAATACTCTGTAAAGATTATGTGGAAAAGTAACTATTTGATAGGAAAACTTGACTGTAAAATACAATTTTGCTGCCTGATTCCACTAACAACAGGAAAAAAACAAAAAACGGTTTGAATGCATGGGTGAAAGTGCCGTTGAATGTTAGAAGTCAACTAATTGGATGTTTTGATGTGTATTGAGTTAAGAATTGTTTCTGCATCAATTTAAAGAGGAATTTGAGTTCTGTGTGTGTAGATGGGTGGGGGTGGGAAATGAAATGGATTTTTTTTTGTACTCTGGGCATTTGTAATTGAAGACAAAAATAAAGGCAAAAATAAAGAAGGAAATGTTATGTCATTTTTGGTTTCGTTATTCCATAGTAATGGTTTAAGATTGGGAAAATTATTTTCTGTCGGGTGCTTAAACAGAGCATCATAAAGGGGAAATATTAGACACAACACACAACGAATCACAGTTTTATAGACAAACATTCCTTCGTCCAATGAAATGGTCAAAAGGGCCTGTCAACATAGTCTACGCACGTTTATTTAGTTTGTCCCTTCTTGCTTTCCGTACATGAACAAGTATGGCGGTCTAATACTTGTGACAACTGCTTTTGTTGTGTAAATAACCACATTTCCCGTTTTGAACATTGTCTCTCTTTCGGGATCGAGATTTGTCGGACTTTGTAGCTCCATCACTACTAAGGTAACGAAGATGTATCGCATCTTAATGCGTCTGTTTGCACATAATTGGAGGCACGTGGGTAGTAGTTAGCTAAGAGAAGCTACACAAGCTAATAGCAATGGAAAATATAAAGTTAGGTGGCTTTATTTACATACGTGGTTCCAATATATACAAGTGAAGCTCGCCGTTTTAATTTGTATGCGTATGTAGCAATAGGTTTGGAAGGGTATTATCACTGGAAAGCGTTATTCTTAAAACATTTATTCTGTTTTATTTGTAAATCTTTCAATGGTAACGTCCGGATAGGATCACACATTAACTGCCAGTCTTCGTCTGTAGCATAGGTTTGCAACTTGGAAGAACATACTTATTCTTTAGCCAAGCTCTTTTATTAACGTTTTATGTGAGGATGTGCTAATAGGCCCGCATTCTAAGCTTTTGCCTTCTTTCTGCAAACGGAAATAGTAACTCTCAGGACCTCACCGGCTGTTAATCAAATAGCAACACACGTGCACCTAACGAGCAGAATACACTGGCTTTATGGAAAGTAATCAAAGGAATTTGTATATCGAGCTAAAAAAGAGGGGAGTAAAAAAAGAGAACAGAACAGAGTAAACTAACTGTAAGTTAGTTATTTCCCATGTTCCATGTTTGGTCATTAAAGTCCACACATGGCCAAAATATCAAGAGTCTCTGGGACAGTATTGTGGCTACTGAACGAAGCTCTGTCTGATTCTGTAGATCATCATGCCGTCAGCGTGCGACCCTTCGATTGAAGACATTGAGGACATGGTCTCTCCCAGTGACCCCACTCCTCACGAAAGACAGTCATCTAGAAAATGTATTATACCAAGGTCCAGAAAGAAGAAAGAGCTTCAGATCCACGAAGAACTCCAAACTGACAGGTATTCCAAAAAGTAGTCCATGTAATATTCTCCTCTGAACAAATCACTTTGATTTTTGTGCCGATATTTTACTCTTTAAGAGAAACAGCCTGAAGTGATTTTTGTAATGTATTCATTTTTATCCCTTATTTGACCAGCTGGAACTTCTGACAACTCTTTCATGCAAAATTCCTTATAATATTTAAAAGATTGTTTTAATGCTCTGCCTTAATTCCTCCATCTTACACTTGGTTATTGGAAATGTTTCAGTTCTGTTTGTTGTAAACTTCACAGTATGGTCACCCAAAAAGTTTTGGAGATTTGAACATGGCACACACAATACTAAATGCATGACTATCCATTTTTAGTTTGATTCCTGGGACCCAAAAGATTTGGATGAAAACATGGGGCTGCAGTCATAACAACTCGGATGGAGAGTACATGGCCGGACAACTAGCTGCCAGCGGGTACAAGATGACTGGTATGAGAAGTTTTGATTTGGTTGTCTGCCTTATAGTCTGTTGAACGAAGTTCATAAAGCATCTTAAAATAATGTGCACTATTATGAAATACTAATAGATTCATAGATGACTGTATGGTATAAATATGAACAAAATTAGTGAGATGTGCATTCAGTTGGGTGTTTATGGAGCTGAAGTTAACATCGTTCAGCACAAGGGGGCAGTCTTGTACTGAAAGTTGTCTGTTTTTGTGTTTCATTATAGCGGGGCACTTTTTCCTCCCCCTGAATGAAATCTAACAATTGTGTAATGCTGATAGTAAGCATGTGATTTTCCTACAAATGTATGGTTATTTGACAGATTTAAATCATGTTTAACTTGTCAGTCTCAATGTACCAGTTGGGATTTTGGCCACAAATTGTGAATCTGTCATTTATGAAAACGGTCAACAGAAAAAACAGTAGATGGAGAATTACACGTTCGATATTTTACCTTTTGATCCTGAGTTTTACATATCTTCTTCCTTAAGCACTAGCATTTATTCAGTTTTAGTACGGATTAGTTTTGTGCACTGGTGAGAGAAGGAAATACACAAAGATTAAATTAAGGGTAAACCCAAAACTACATCGGGAAAACATGTTTATTTGTGCGTTTAAAAAAAAAAAATTAAAAAAGGTTTGTGCTTAATCACAGTTAGTCACAAGTCGGAACGAATTTTCTCTGACAAGTTATTTAATGTACGATACACATTTCTGCATGCAGAATGACTGATTCCTTTGAGTCTCTTTACTTGTGATGGTGTGTATTTGTGTTTGTTGGAAGAGTAAATGAGACAAAAGATAGTCAACCCTGTAGGCGTGTGCCTCTCCATGGGTTCTCCACAGCCACAGAGAGACATTAATCACATGCTTCAAAAATGCAGATGTACCCACTCATTCACATGCACAGATGCACTATAGACCATTTACTCCTGAACATGAGCCAAACAGACTTCCTCCTCATCTGGGTGTTGATACGCTTGCCCCCTTTGTGTTTTCTAGCTTTCTTTGTTTGGGATTTCTGTCCCATGAGCCATTCAGAGAGACCTGTCTCACCTTCGTTTCGCTTCACTTTGTTGTCCCAATCGTACCTTTTTATTTGGAATGATATCCTTTCACCTTTAACATAACATGCATATCAAACCAGATGAGTTTACCTTGACCACAGGGCTCTGCAGCAGGTTCAGCAGGCTCGGGGTATTTTCAGTATCTGAGGTCAAAGCCCAGAAGGAAATCCTGTTGTCTGTAAGACTGCTGAAGCCCTCTTTCAGATGCAGCCCTTGCTGCTTTGGTCTTTGCACCCGATACAGAACAACTGGAGCATCTGTGTGTTCTGCAAATTTCTTATTTGTTATTTCTTCAGGTGACAAAATCTCTTGTGCTGTGGATAGCCATAAGCTGCATAACTCCAGATCACAGCACATCATCTTAATGGTTATTTGGAGCAAGTAAGACTCCCTGTTGCCGTGGTGATGCAACCTGTTGATTTTCACCATGTTGAAACTCGGAGTTCAACTGAGTTGCTAATCAGTGGGCTTGTATGTCATTCCATCTGGGAGCGGGGCACATTTTCAATAGTTCAAACATATTTGAAGAAGATGACTCTTAACTCTCAACTTAAATGGGAGTATAAGTAGCAGCTTGTCTGACTAAAGGTGTATCAAACAAAAGAAGCACTTCCCTCTCAGTTGCAGAATAATTCAAATTGATTTGAAGCGAAGCCATCACCTGAATATGACTGAATCCTTCACAGGTGGGAGATTTCATCTTTTGTTGTTTCTTTGATAGCCTTTTTGTTTTCGCGTACACTTACGCAGGAGGTGCTTCACATGAACGGTATAGTGTGAAAACTGTGCTGGTATCAAGGATGCCATGAGGAATCCATGAGGGGTTGGCTGAGGCTGAGTGGAAAAGCCTGGAAGAAACGGCACCAAAAATCTGTCAAGGTGAAATGACTATTAGGTGATCGTAAAGCTATAAAGGGTAAATATTTTTTTAATGTGGATATTCAGTTTTTCTTAAAGCTGCAAAACCAAAATCACATCTGCGTCAAACTACACTGCAGCATCTTCTGTTGAAATCGGGCATCGTTAGGCAGTTTAACGAAGAGCTTTGACAAAGCTTGCTTCCACTGCTCTGAAAAGATGACATCACCTCCCCGCATCGTCCCTCCTGCCTGTTTTCGTTCTTTTCCACCGTCCTCTCTCACTCTTTCATCCCCATCTCTAAATCTTTCTTTCTTAAGGTATGACATCACCTGGTGTGAAACATAGTAGCAGTTTTTGTGCTGGCCCATAGGTGGCAGCCTTGGCCCATGGAGGAGGTTTCTATGAAAGAAAACATCCCTGCAATATCAAGATGAGGTCATCCTCTGTGGAGGCGGGGAGGAGGGAGACAGACTCTGGTTCCTATTCATACTTTTCAACATCTTAAACTTCTAATCATTACAGACTACACATGAGCTTTTGTAAGGTGTGCAGTAATGTCATCTCTTAGGATGTGATGAATCTCGCACAGAATTCCCATCCTTTAAGAGTCTCCTAATCATAACAGATACATGTGGTATGTGTTTGAGGCAAGAAGGTTGTCGAGTGTTTTTTATGGAAGGAACTCTGGTTATTATTCAAAAGAGCACATATTGGCTCTAAGATGTTTTCTCAATCCAAGGTTTAAAATGATTCCTCACCTGAGATGTAAAAGCTCAGTTTACCTTTTTTTTTATCGAAAGTTGCTACCATGTGATCATTTGAATATTGTTGTGGCTTACCACTAAATAACCATACGGCTGGTGTATGTTATGTTGTCAGCATGTGAAAACCACCTGTACTATTTCCACCTGTATTTGCTTTCAGTGTTTCCACACTCCAGTTGCTGCTCCTGTCTGCAGCCGAGGGGGGCACTGTTCCCCCACGAGAGGGCTCTGACACAAATAAACTGCCTTTGAGTAGCAAAGCAATGTGCCAAATAGTGACTTCATTGAAAGGCACATGAGTACACATACACACACACACTTATACCCTTCATGGAAAGTCACACCAGGATCTCTGCGATTTTATTTTATTTTTCTTTGGCTGATTATTCCCCCTCCCTGCCTTTTCTCTCAGCTCCACACAGTTCTTCAGTTGAGGTTTTACATACCGGTTAGGCAAAATGACTCCCTGGTACACAGTGTCAGCCAAATGAGGCATTCTCAGTTCCTGGTTTGGACACAGACGGTTAAAGGATATGAGTTTCAGAGAAAGGGTGTGAGCTGTTTAGATAAACAGATACGACGACAGATCAGCAGGATTTACAGATGTCGCTGGCAAAGGACAGTGAAAGAGGCTTTGCCATCTCATGTCATTTTCCCTTTATTTTTTTTGAAAAGCTCAGTTTCCTTTGACAAAGAGCCAGGGGCAAATATGTTTCTATATAAGCTGAAGCATGCAATTGTTTTTGCTGCTTCACTGCAACTCGCGCAGATTTGATTTGATCTAACTTTATCCACATGAAACCTAAAAAGCAGGATTTTTCCGGACACTCGGGGTATGTTCAGATAAACTGAACCGAGACGCTCGAGCCTGAACACCTTTCCGCTGCTCTGATTGAGCTCGCACTGCATTTGCTCCGAGCCCCTCTGCTTCTCGCTGCGATTGTATTACATCACTGTAGAGTATTCCGGCTCTGAGTGAGCCTACCTTGCATACATGCCATCTCATTCATAAAACGAGTGTTTGGGGGTCTTCCGATTGGCTCCCCGTGCGCTACGCAGCACTTACACGCTACAAAATTTTAGCCAATGAAAACTTACAATGATGGGTCTGACTCCACCTCTCGCATATCCAGACATCGGCACTCACGGCCAGATCTCACACACACTTTGCTCTTCTCACACACGGTTGCAGACATAGTGAGATTCTGTGCCGCACAGAGATAGTGTGTGAGACGGTTCCGTTTCATCATCCCGCAAGATGACGCGCACTCGGCTGTCTGTATGCCTGAGAAAGACTGTCTGTTCGCCGTCTTTCTGCTGACTACGGAAAAGACGGCGTGTGTTAGGCAGGCATAGAGAAGGAGAATGAATGAAGGTGAAAACACTGAAACGATATAGCAGAGGAGGAAGAGGATGCTTGGATGAAGGGAAGAGCAGATGGAGATGAATTCTCTTTAAATGCAGAATTCGATGAACATTGATGGGTAGAAGGCGGGAAGAAAGGGGATGGAAAGGGGATGCCACAGAACTGAGAATGAAGTGGCAAGTTCAATTTAAAGATGTAGATTCACACACCCTGACAAACTGTCCCACAAAGGACAGCATCTGTCAGTTTCACAGCAAGCCATGTGTCGTCCTCATTTACAAGCAAATGTGCACTTTCCTAGGATTTAAATATCACTGACATCCCTCTAGAAGACTAGTGATCCAAAAAAAGTGAGGTTTAACCATTTGGTCAACCTTTTTGCAGACATTGAATTAAAAACTCCATCCATCATGCTTAGAAATTCCCCTGAGGAAAGTTTGGATAAAGCTCAGAAAGGAAAGCTGCATCAAGTGAAAAAAGAAGGAAGCGCCTCTCTGACACTCGCTGATTACTTTGAATAAAAAAGATTTCATGGTTTGCAAGCTGGCCTGTTCAAAGCAACCAGTTCGGCCATAAATATGCTTTGTGATTTGGGAAAGCAAAAAGGAAAGAACAGATCATTTGTTGAAACTGCTGATTTATATAGCACTAAGTATATAAAAGAATTCCAAACCAAAGCACAACAAGAAGTGGTCTTCGGACACTAAGAGTAAAAATCTTTTCCTGTGGAATAAGAAAACACTGGTACCTGACGGGTGACATGTATAGATTGAAATGTTCGTCTTGACATGTTGCTCATGCTTGCTGTTATATAGGCCTGGTGGCCTCGTGTGGCTGGCCCAGGTTCACAACTGATTTAGTCAGTTATGGTTCCTCACGATTACACTGGGGGAAACAAAAAAAAAAAAAAAAGAAGAATCAGGG